AAAATTGGTCAATAGAAAATCTGATTGTTTACTCAATTTAAGTCGGTTGAGAGTCTAAGCAGTTTTTTATTGGGAGTTTACATGGAACTAGTATTCGACCTGTGCATTTGCACAGATATATAAATAAAGTATTGTGAGTTATTCGTATGTATATAATGGTTAATGATTTTTGCCATATTTAAAATTAAAGGAACTAAAATATTTATTTATTTTATTTGTGTTTATTATATTGGATGTAATGTATATTTTGGTACGTATCTTTTTTTATAAATTATTTATTATTTATTAGAGATTTCAAATACGTTTTTTATTTTCCAAAAGAAATTAATTTAAATATAACAACAACAACATTTAATCACGTTAAATAGTCAACACATTATATGGTCAGTTGTAAATAAATCAAAAATTTAAATGACTTTTGTAATTTTGAAATGATTAGTGTGTTGATTATCTAATAATTAAATGAGAGGTTAAATATATAAAAAAGTAACGGTTTTTTGAGGAAAAAAATTATATTGCCACATATATATAATTTAATAGGTTTTATTAAATGCTTATGAGCAAACAATTATATATATATATATATATATATATGGTTCTATTACCATTTTCCTAATATGTAGGCTATTTGGTATACAAATAAGTTAGCTTATATCTTATTTGGTTAGCTTATAAGCTCTCTGTATTCAAATAACCCTCGTTTGGTAGGACGAGCTTTCTTAAAAAGCTCAAGTTTATTTGATAAGTTTCCTTAGGTAGCTTTTCAAATATGTCAGTTGAATTTTTTATTCCAACTAACTTATCAAATAATTTTACCAAACACTTTTATCATATAAGCTAGTTTATCAGCTATAAGTCATAAGTTATAAGCTATAAGCTAAAACATTACTGATAAGCTATAAACTAGCTTATCAACTATCAGCTTGCTTATCAGCTAGTTTTACCAAATATAGACATAATAGTGGGAGCTTCTACGGTCTCGTTACGGAACCATTCCGTTGGGGTTTGTAACCGTTAGATCAACTATCCATGACGGTTACATAATGATCTAACGGTACAAATCTCGACGAGATGGTTCCGTAACGGGACTGTAGCATTTCTCTATAATAGTATATATTATATAATCCTCCTTTTAGAATTTTTTACGGCAAGCAA